CTGGGAGGAGCTATATGTGGACTATAAGTACCCCAAAGGGACAGCACACTTTGGGCTTCCCTGGGAGCAGTGACTTTGGCCTGCTCGTGGGGACCCTGGAAGGCTGCCTAGGGAGTGGTCATGAGAAATGCTGCTCCTGTGGACCATGGGGCTTTTCACCAGGGTGGCCTCTCCACCTGCCTGACCCAGATTGCCTCTCCTTGCCCGTGAGCTGCTGGGCTGGCACAAAGACTACCCTCGAGGAGGAATGGCACCTGGTGCCATCCTGCTGGCCTGCATCTTGCGTCCTCCTGAATAGACTGGTGCCAGCATGGTCATAGTCATCTTGGGTGCCTGAACCATCAGGTGGATCTAAAAACTCTGCTTGGTGTCAGACTGGTGGGTGTCGCGGTCCTCCAGCCAGCGGTGGAAGAATCAAAATTGGAACCTATGCATTTTGACCCTACTGCCCAAGCCTCTCATCACCCTTCCAGGTGTCTCAGGGAGGAGAAATAACTCTACTAAGGTCACAGGACAGATATTTAGCGGATCCAGTTAAGGCGTGATTACAAAGGAAAAAGATCTGTTACAGGTGGCTCATTTAGCTCAACCTGGGTCACAGTACTCAATGTGCATGGCTCACAAGTGTCACTGGAAGGTAATGTGGTCTGTAGGGGGACAGGGAAGGGTCAGCGTAGGTCATCCCTGGGGGATGTGCTGCTTTAGTTTTCCCATTGCATTTCCTCCTCTGCCTTTCAAATCTCCTCCCCTCCTCCTCTTTCTCCTTTTTTCCTAAAAAAAAAAAAAAAACAAAACTTTTTATTTTGAAATACTTTTAGACTTAGAGAGAAGTTGCAAAAACGCTAGTGTTCCTGTATACCGTTCCTCCAGATTTCCCTGATACTAGCTCTTATATAACTGCAGCATAATTACTAAAGCTAGATAAGTGTTGGTGCAGTACCACCAACTGACCTCTAGGCCTTGTTCACACTGCACTAGATTTCCCCAACCCCGTAGGTAAGATGCTAGATGCTGATGGGATCTTAGACGTTGAGCCTACAGAGCATCTCACAACGCATGTGGTTATTTCTCCTTAGTCTCCTCCAGTTTGTAAGAGTCCCTCAGTCATTCCTTGTCTTGAGTGCTGATCACTTATTTTGTAGAAAGCTCCTCAGTTTGGGTTCATCACATGTTTACTGTGATGGACCGAGGTTGTGAATTTTTGGAAGAATACCATAGAAATGGTATTGGGTCCTCCTCAGTGCAATGTATCAAGGGATCCTGATAGTGATATGTTTTATTACTAGTGCTCATTCTTTTTTTCTTTTTAATGCTTTAACCCACAAAACCCCCAGCATATTTAGGATGAGGGTCATCGTACCAGAGGCAGAAGCCTGCATTCTTATTATGTTAGCACGCCAGGTCCAGCCAGGGGTGCTCTTGCTGTGGCAAGTTTCTTCCACATTTTATTTTTCTAATACTCTTTGTAGCTTCTTTAATTGTGCATCTATCTCTTGGACGTGGAAATCAGTTCTCTCAAATTGAACTTTGTTAGTGAAAACAGCTAGGCTGTTGCGTGACTGTGTTACCATTGTCAACATGGGTGGCTGGTTGTGAAACTTGCAGTCTGGCGTTGCCAGTCTGGGGGGTTTGGTTATTGATGATTGAAATTGTCCTGGTGCTCCTATGTGAAATTTAAGAAACAAAACAGAGGATCATAGGTGAAGGAAGGGAAAAATAAAATAAGGTAAAAACAAAGAGGGACGCAAACCGTAAGAGAACTTAGGAGACTATAGGAGAACTTAACTATAAGTTAAGGAACTCCTTAACTATAGGAGAACATAACTCTGGGAAACACACTGAGGGTTGCTGGAGGGGGGGAGGGGATGGGGTAACTGGGTGATAGGCATTAAGGAGGGCATGTGATGTAATGAGCACTGGGTGTTATATGCAACTGAGGAATCACTGAACCCTGCCTCTGAAACTAATAATACGCTCTGTGTTAATTAATTGAATTTAATAAAAAACAAAAGAAAAGAAATTGTCCTGGTGCTGCTTTGCCCAGGTTCTTGGAGATGCTGGAGCCTGAGGGGGCTGTGATTTCCTAGAAGGTGCAGCACCAGGCCTGTGGAATTTCTCCCTCCCATCATCTTTAGGGGTGTCTGATCCAAGCAAGTCTTTACTTTGGGATAGATTCCTCCATGTTTTATTGCTATGTAAGTGAGGAGTTTCAAAAGTTGGCTGGGTCAAGGTCAGGTGGCTAGTGGGGTGGAGTTTGTGGTGGGGTTGGTTAGGGGGAGAATAATACAGGGTCTTTGTCAGGTAGAGGAGGGTCCTTCTCCCAGCAGGGCTCATACCTATAGAATACACCTTTCTTCCCAAGTTTCTAACTCCATGGGGAAGGTGTTACATAAAGCCACAGTTCAGTGAGTTGAACTCACTGAAATCTCAAATAAGTGGAATTTTTCCAGTCTTGAGTTTTTAAAGAATGAATTAAGTGTGAGTTCTTATCAGAAATTTAAAATTAAAACACCTCCGGGTATGTTTCAGAATCTGTTCCATCACTCTGATCTCTCTGTGGTTTACGTTATAGACTTCAGCGGTGACAGGTGAGGTTCCTCATTCGGAACCGCAGAGCTTTGGACTAGAGAGTATCAAGTTACATTATAGTCCATGCAATGTCTCCACTGTGTCAGGAAACAATAAACTGAAAAGGTAGAAAAAAGGAATTGGTTTTTCTTCTTCTTTTTTGGATTATATTTAAGGTAACACAAACATGATCCAAGCCCTGTATTTCTTTATATTGTTTTTTTCAATAGGTTAAAAAACTCAACTATAAAAGGGTGAATGGTGAAAAATATTTCTCTAGTCCTTGTCCCTCATCTTTTTTAGTGCTAGGGAACCACTAATATTAATTCTTCATATCTACTTCCAGAGCTGCTTTTTACATATACAAGCAAATACAAAAGTAGAATCTTCTTGGGCGCAATAGGTTCTATATTGATTTTCTTAAATGTTGTATTTGTTAAAGATTCTGATTCATCAAGAGTATGCATTTCTTTTTTCTTTCTTTTTATTGTCTCAGGTTTTTTTTAAAATTACATATTATAGCCCCCTGTGCATCCTCTCTGGGATCCGATTGTTCTCCCTCCCTCTCCCTCTCAGAGGTAACCATTACCATGAATTCAGCATTTATCCTTCCCAGCATGTAATGTTTTATGGGCCTCAAAACTTTTTATAAACCATATCATTCCGAAAACATCAGTCTGCAACTTTTTTATTCAGTGTTATTTTTTATGGTTATAAAATTTATATTTTGATTATCACAGGAGTATGGAAGTAAGAGCTGTGCTTTGTAATAATGTAATGTCTGGTCCCTGAAAAGTTTAAAATCTGTCATTTTTTATAATTAAAAAAATGGTGAACCCCAATTTATTTTTTTATTTTTTCAATAACCTGAAGTTATTTTTGCTTTGAAAATCTAATTGTACGTATTTGGTCATAATTACCCAGATCTTAATTTTTTTTTAAATTTTTTTAAAAGATATTATCTATTTGACAGAGAGAGACACAGCAAGAGAGGGAACACAAGCAGGTGGAGTGGGGGATGGAGAAGCAGGCTTCCCCGCAGAGCAGGGAACCCGAGGAGGGGCTTGATCCCAGGACCCTGGGATTATGACCTAAGCTGAAGGCAGACGCTTAATGACTGACCCACCCAGGTGCCCCTACCTGGATCTTTAAAAAAAAAAAAAGTGTTAATAAGGTTTTTCTCATTTATGAAAGCCCCAGAAACCACCGTGGATAATTTGGAAGACGAAGACACGTATAAAATAGAAAATAAAATGTCCGTAATCTATACTGCTTCAGAAATAACCACTATATGCATTTTGATGTGTTTCTCTCTAGTCTTTTTTTTCTATGTATATACAAATAGTTTGTTTCAAAACGAGGATTATATCATATGAAGTTTATTATCCTTCACATTACTTCGTGACCATGATCTCCTTTCAGTGACTGTTCTTGGGAAATGTAACATAAATAATTGCATCAAAATCTTCATACAAATTCACCAGATTTGATTTAGCTGGCCCCCAAAAATCAAAGTGGTAAGGAAATGACATATCTATGTATATTGATTAAATTCAAACCATTTTTTCCTCAAAGTATACTATTCAACTTCAAACTACATATTTTGCCTAAGCAAATAAGTTCTCAGTAATTGTGTGATATGACTTAGTGAATGCAATCTTTGATAATATCAAAGCTCTACTTTAAATACAAGGCTGAAATAATTTGCTCCCAAAAAGCATGCTTCAGAGTCATAAAGTAATAGGGCACTGTTGGTTACTTGGGTTAGAGTAGAAGCTACTATGAGACCTGAATGGTTTTCAACACACAGTTTTGGTCTTTGTGGGTTTATGTTTAATAGTGAAAACCAAAGGTCAATGTGCTTCCTCCCTATAAATAATCAAGTCCATGGGTGACCTAGAAATAGAGTTCTTGTTGCTATGCTGTTGAGATGGTACTATTATGTTGTTGAGATGGCACTACATTGATAAGAGTGGCTCCAACGTGTTCTTTTTAACTGTTGCGTACTGTTTCGTTGTTTGAGTAAACCACAATTTACCTACTCTTTGTAATTCCTGCTTCCCATTGGTTTTTGGTTGTTGAAAACAATGCAATGGTTATACATTTAAAAACTAAGCCCATTGTTTCAAATGCAAAAGAGCATAATATCTATATCTTTTGAGTCCTGTGGTCTAGGAAAGGGCCTGAGGGTTGTGAATGTTGCTCTCCTTTACACCTAACACTTACAGGGGGTTCTTATTAAGTAGATAGATGGATGGATGGATGGATGAATGGATGCTGCATGCATGGATGGGAAGATGGATGGATTCATGAATTCTTGAATCTCTTGATTCAAGATCTCTTGATTCATCAAATCTTGTACATCCATCTGTAAAATCTCCTTGCCTGTGTGGAATAACAACATATAAACTCTCAGTTTCCTTTTCTTCTAGATGTCGAAATGCTTCAGGCCAGTACATCTAATCCAATCCCTGGAGATGGTTTCTCTCGGGCCACTAAGGACTCTATGATCCGCAAGTTTTTAGAAGGTAATTTGCAACTGTGAGCAGGGAAGCAAAAAGAGGGAAAGAGAAGTAAATGTAGGAACATTGCCTGGTTCCGTATGATGGTTGCTCCATTAAAGGAATGGGCTGCCACATACCTGGCATATGGTGTGATGACTGAAGACACTCCATCCCCGTGAGCTGCCCCATCAGCCTGTTACAGTAGGTCAGGAGTTCCTACCACTGGAGCCACTCATTTGGGTAAAAGTTGCCTCCAACAAGACTTGTTTTAAAATGCATATGCTTATTTTTATTTGACTAAAATTTATTGAGTACCCAATATGAGCAAAGCACTGCTCTGGATGTTGGGCTGGAGGACACAGAGAAAAATAACATGTGATCAAGTGCCCTTAAGAGATGACTTTCTGGTGAATGTGGAGAACATAGGGGAATATACACAAACATTGTTAAGTTGAGCCTTGTGTCATGGTTAAGAATACGAACTCTGATCTGTATTTAGTTCCCCCTTCAGTTGGCTAGAAAACCTTGGACAAGTTCTCAACTCCCCTGGGCCTCAGTGTCCTCAGGTGAATGTTGTGAGAATTAAATGACTTACTGTCTAGTGGGCCTCAGAGTGGGGCTGGGCATAGAGCAAGCAATGAATGTTTATGATTGTTGTTGTTGTCATCATTATCATTGAAGGTCAGAGAGGGAGGGTGTTGAATTGTGGGGGTAACTCCTTAACTCTGTCCAATCATTTATAATCATTTATAAAACCAGGGGGCGGAGTCTGTTGATGAAGTAGGCATAGAAAGCAGGATGCTAAGAGTATGGGATTCAAGATGGGAGAAGTAGTTTTGACAGTGAAGAGGAAAGAACAGTTCTGAGTAGTGGTAGATAAACCATAGCCTGGCTAGCTGCCTGTTTTTGAAAATAAAGTTTAGTTGGAACACTTTGTATCCATTCATTTAGTATGGTCTATGTCTGCTTTCACGCTATAAAAGCAGAATTGAGGACTTGTGTGCATGGAGGCAGGCACCTTGGGAATCACTGTCATTGGTAAGGTAGCCAGCAGCTCTCCCAGGACACCTCATTTTGTTAACATCAGACAAGCCTCTCCAGAATTTCTTCATGCCCTTATACAAGATGTTCAAAGATGAACAGGTGGGAACTTCTCCACTAGTTGGAAACTTTCTCGAAAGCAGAGCGTTAGAACCCAGAGCCCCTGGATGAGTTGGGACCCCCTGGTCTGTCAGTCTTCTGGACCAGGACACAGGGAAGCCAAGAGTGGTCTCTGCACAGCTCAGAAAAGATGCAGCTAAAAAAAACTTCTGATAAATCACTGGATTGGAAATCCCATAGGAAGAAGAACCAAGCTTTATTCATTCCTGTATCTCAAACAGGCATTTATTTTTTTTTAATTTTTTTATTGTTATGTTAATCA